GACTTGATGGCGTTCCCCCTGTACTTCTCAGGGATGAGGGCCGATAGGACCCTGTTGGTGAAAGGGGTCCTAGTCCTGACCTGGATGATGGGGTCACCCCGCCCTTCGGCCAGCTCCCTCTCCAGGGCGCTAACTTTGTTCATGAGCGCGTTGAGGCCAGGGTCGTTGGAGGCACCGGCCGTAGGGATGTTGGCCGACTGCTTGGCCTCCATCTGAGCCAGCCTCCTTTCCAGCTGGGCGATGACCTCGTCCCGGGGGTCCCTGTTGGCTGCAGCGGCGCCCGACTGGTTCCTTAGGCGCTCGTTGTGAGCCGCGTTGATCTGGTGACGCACGTCATCCTCGTGCAACTTCCCCTTGCCCTTATCCGGGCGGGGCTGGTCCGCTGTCCGGGACACAGACCCCAAGCTTTCCCTTGGCGAGCCAGGACGAGGATCACCAATCCGTCCCGCCATCCTCTCCGAAACCGGACGACGGCGCGTGTCACCTAACCTATTGAAGGCAGAGGCTTTTCCACGCGCTGGGATCTGCCCGGGCCGAAGAGGGGAAGCAGGGTGGGAGTGGGACGACGCCGTGTCCTGGGGCACCACCCCCTCGTCGTTGCCAATCTGGACGGCCAACGGTTGGGGTTGAGGAGGTTGAGTGACGTTCCCCCCAGTCCTTGGCAAGAGTGCGCTGAGGACGGTGGGGTTCTGAGCCAAGCTGGCGATGATAGCCGATAGTGCGGCCTGGACCTGAGGATCTACGGACGGAGAGGTCGCGGCCATAGGCTGGGCCGGGGCGTGATCCGTCTTTTCAGCTCGCTTCTTGTCCAAGCCGAGGCGGGCATCAGGGGCGCCGCCGTTGAGTTGGTTGCGGAGGTCCGTTGTGAGGTTGAAAGCCTCCTGGAAGAGATCCCCTCCGCCGGCCTGGTCGGCCGTGGCGTCCTCATCGTGCTCCCTGGGCTCTTGGTCCTCAGGGATGACTTTGCTGACGAGGTTGCGGTTTGACTTAGTTCTCCCCATGATCAGTGGTTAGCTGTGCTTGGTAGCGACGAAGGGTGCTAACTTGATTGTTCTAGCTCTCAACGAGAGCACCAAATGATAGAGTATATCTAGAGAGAAGTGAGAGCTAGAGAGAGAAGTGCAATAATATGCTTCAATAGAATGATTTTGTCACCCCTATAACTACTCCCAAAGGGAGTATTTATAGAGAAAATTAGGGCTGTGCTCCCAAGTCTTGGGCTTGGGAGGCCCATTTACAACTGGACCGCTACTGGGCCGAATACAAAGCCACTAATGGGCTGTACACATGAGTAAGTATAAAATCCGACTCTGTGAGGTCTTCGTGGCCGACGAGGGCGTGGTCGACGAGGGCACGGCCGACGAGGGCACCCGGGTTCCTTGGACTCAGGACCATAATCCGAGTTGGCCCCTTTTCGGCCGACGAGGGCGTCTTGGCCGACGAGGGCGCCACTCTGTTGTCTTGTGCTTTCTGTTCTTCCGAGTATGTGGGTCCGGGGGGCTCAGACCCATATACTCCATCAATTACCTGTTGGATAATGGGGCGGTTATGGGGCAGGAAAACTACCCAACGGGACGGTTACGGTTATACTCCCTCCGTCCCTTAAAACTTTGCCAAATTTGACCGGCACGTGGATTAATAAAGTAAAAACTGTGTGGTTGAGGTTTGTGCAGATGAGAGAGAATTAATTGAAACCACAAATTCTTTACTTGAAATGGAAAATGACAAAGTTAGTGGGACATCCAAAAAGGAAAGTTGGCAAAGTTTTTAGGGACGGAGGGAGTATGTAAAACCGTTCTCGATCCACCTCGTTGCCATCCCTACCGAGAACACTTTACACGCTCTAATCTTAGTCCTTAGAGACTTAGACCCTTCCCTAGTGGACGATTGTAGAAATATAAACATTTGTTTAAACCGGATAGTGTACACCCCTAGTTGTTGTTGTTGTTATTATTATAATTATTATTATTATTATTATTATTATTATTATTATTATTATTATTATTATTATTATTATTATTATTATTACTATTATTATTATCATTATCATTATTATTATTATTATTATTTTTTTTATTATTAGGGGTGTGCACCGGTTCAAAACCAGACCGTACCGTACCGAACCGGACCGGATATCATTCCGGTTCGATCCGGTTCCGGTTTTTCCGGTCCGGTTTGGTCCGGTTTTCCGGTTTAAACCGGATAGTGCACACCCCTAATTATTATTATTATTATTATTATCGTTGTTGTTGTTATTATAATAATAATTATTGTTATTGTTATTGTTATTGTTATTATTATTTTAATTATAAATGAATAAAATATAATTATTTCTGGATTATAATATATATAAAAAATAAAATCTTTATGCAAAAAATATAAAAAATAAAATTTTAGACCAGACCAGACCAGACCAAAACAGACCAGACCAGATCAGACCAGACCAGATCAGACCAGATCAGACCAGACCAGCAAATTACAGTTCAAGTAAAAACATCCTAAAATATCATCCGTGATGTAATATTTGGAATAAACAAAAAAAGGGATATGACCAGGAAACAATAAATAATTATCTGACTAATGAGATGGGCTCAAAAGCTACTAGCTGCCCATGCACTGCCACCCCACTGGCCACATTCATACCCAACTCCATACCGGGCTTAATTTACACCTCGTAAAAACACCTAAAATGACTGTCATATATATATATATATATATATATATATATATATATATATATATATATATATATATATATATATATATATATATATATATATATATATAGGGAAGAGATCAAATAAAAAGAGGTTCTCCCGTGCAAAGTGCGAACGGTTGCACTTTTTCCTCACCGTGTTGCACTTTTGCGTGTTTATGTTGCACTTTTTCGCAATGGCAAAAAACTTCGTTTTAATTACGAAATTGGCACCGCGTTTTTGATCAAATTTAGTTCACTTTTGACTCATTTTGAGCCATTAGATCTGAAAATGAATGCACGAGATTAATTCTCACTTTGCATGGGAAGACATCTTTGTATTTGAATCATCCCATATATATATATATATATATATATATATATATATATATATATATACTCCCTCTGTCCCTATATAAAAGTATCCATTCATTTTACACACATCTTAAGAAAGTGGGTTTGGTTGGTACTGTTTGACACTGTTTGGACACTGTTTGGCACTGTTTGGCACTGTTTTGCACTGTTTTGCACTGTTCTGTTTGCCAAAAAAGGAAAGGGAACTTTTATTTAGGGACGGCCAGAAAAGGAAACAGATGTTTTTATTTAGGGACGGAGGGAGTATATATATATCTGGTGAGAATGTATATAGAATAAGGATCAAATGAGAAGAGTGCTTATCGTAAGAAGTGAGAATGCATCTGGTGCGTTCATTTTAAGATCTGTGCATCAGATTAGCAAAAAAGTGCACGGGAAAGTGCAAAAAATATTAAAATAGTGATGTTAGACGCGGTGACATTTCCGTAATTAATCAGAACTTTTCTGCCATCGCAAAAAGTGCATTAGATTAGCAAAAAAGTGCATCAGGAATAGGTAAATGTGTAACTTCTCACTTCTCACGTTAAGATGTCTTCTCATTAGAACCCGACCCTATATATATATATATATATATATATATATATATATATATATATATATATATATATATATATATATATATATATATATATATATATATATATATATATATATATATATATATATATATATATATATATATATAGGGAAGAGTTCAAATGAAAAGTGGTCTTCCCGTGCAAAGTGCAAAGTTTTTACTTTTTCATGTTTCGCTTGCACTTATTGTTGTTTGCGTTGCACTTTTTGGCCATTTTGATTTTGGCCAAATTCGGCCAAAATGACGGTGGCTGTTTTGTAAATAAACCAATTTTTTTGAGCTATCGCGAAAAAGTGCAACGAAAGCAAGAAAAAGTGCAAGCGAAACATGAAAAAGTGTAAACTTTTCACTTTGCACGTTAAGACATCTTTTTATTTGAATCATCCCCTATATATATATATATATATGTGTGTGTGTGTGTCCAATTTTAAAAAATCACATTCTAAATACAAGTATATCTTATTGATAAAGAAGAAATGGTTTAAATGAAAAAACCAAAAAAATCATCTTAAGCATCCACCAAAAAAATACTTGCTTTTTATTACCACAATGCAATCATAAAATTTTAAAAAATGACGTTTCTAGAGACACCGATCTGTGTAACTTGATCATAGACATTTCGATCTAGCTTGTATGTGAGGAAGTAACTTTTAATGTATACACCACCGATCATGTACACCTAACATATTTATACAATTTTTATCCTAACAAATAGACATCTCTTTTAGTGGGACTATTTGATCCTAAAAATATTTATGGAATGACTATAATACGTACGTACACTAATTTACTAATCAACTCGATTCTCTTTTATTTTTTATGTTTACAATAAAATATAAATATATACATATGAAAATACTAAAATAGCTCTCTAAATTCAACCGGAAAAGCAACTAACTCCGACTAAGATTGATCTGAAAAATGTGGGTTAGCCAACTGGGAAAAGACGATGAGTAACTTTTAGCACTTCGCATATTCAAAAATGCTAGGTAATGGACTTGTTTTTGTGTAAAATTATTGATATTGTCTGAAACAAAGGCAATTCGTCTAAACAATACAAAAGTGTTAATAAGTTTGTAATAAATGTTTGTGATACAAACAAAATAAGGATAACACATATTTCATTAGTATAATTTTAGTATAATAATATATGAACGCCATCCTCTAAACAAAATAAATGACTTCCTATCCGCACATATAGCTTTGTTGATTGATGAGAAAGTTAGAGGAATGATCAAAGATTAAAACCCCATTAGATAGGACCTCCGGGTACGTACATGTACACGGTCTATCACCGTTCAAAATACTGAGTCACGGTAATTTAATTACAACATGTCTTGTTGGGTCAGGGGTGAGAGACCTTGGGTTGGGTCGGGGGAATAAAAGACTCCCTCTTTCTCATACTCCGTATATCCCAATCTATATATCATCTATCTGTCTCAATCATTTCTGGAGTGGACTTTCTTTGGATCATCCCTGGCCTGAATGAAGATCCAGTGCGACGTGTGCGGGGAAGACGAAGCAGCTCTGTTCTGCGTGGCAGATGAGGCAGCTCTCTGCCCACTCTGTGATCAAACAGTCCACAATGCCAACAAGCTGGCTAGCAAGCACCAAAGGTTCTCCCTTCTTCATCCTCCTCCATCCCAGCCCCCTCTATGTGATATCTGTCAGGTATGTATTTTACTATTTCATTAAGCTGGCTACCATACCTGTGTTCACATGGACCAATGAGAATGTAGCATTTGAATTATTTAAATCTAAATTAAAAATGATAAAGTGGTGTGGTCCAATCAAATGAATGGTAGGTACGATACTCATTTTTTTAGAAAGGTACCGGAGTTGTCACCTTTCATTAATCAGGATGTTAAGAGTATTCCTTCATATCCCAAAATCATCATACTTAAATCATGATTAAATCAGCATATTAATGGGATCATGTTAATTCACCTCACTTTCCATTCATATCAAATTATTAATATTGTAAGAACGATTACCTCACTTTTATATGGTCATTATATTGTTTTTTCACAATGGTAAGAATGAACTGAACCCACGTGTTTTTGTGTAAGTTGAATAGAGTAGACTCGTTTGATTATTTAAATTGATTGAGAAATGTACAATCATATGATTACGGGGTGTTTGGTAAATGACGCTTTGGCCTAATAATGACGGTTTGACCACTTTTAACGTTTTCAATAAGTGAAATCGTTGTTTGGTAAATAGCAGTTAGGCACTAGCGTTTTTGGACGGAACCGCTAAAATGAAAACGCTTCAAATAGGAGAGTTTTGGGTTATCGTTTTGAAATATAGCGTTTTCTATTAATTTTATGACCAAATAGCTAAATTACCAAACATCTTCTAACAACCCGCTAACTTATTCCGCTAGTCAACCTTGCTGATTGAATCTGCTATTGATGTAACCCGTCATCAGCTAACGGCGAACAGCCCATAACCACACATGATCTGCATCTAAAAAAGATATTTTGTCACTTCAAAATCAGATTTATTAAAAAAGTTTTACATTGATACAGGAATCTTAATTTGCGGTTGAGCTATTTTAATATTACCCTTTTACGATATTCACCTTTTAAAATATAATATATAATTCTCCTTTTAAAAAAAGTAATATCTAATTGAAGAACTTTGCTGCTTTATTGCTATAATTTTGGGATTTCTGAATTTTGTTTAGGAGAGGAAGGCATGGTTGTTCTGTGAAGAAGACAGGGCAATGCTTTGTGGAGAGTGTGATGTGCCCATACATAAAGCAAATGAGAATACTAAGACACACAATAGGTTTCTTGTAACAGGTGTCCAGCTCTCTCCAACCTCCTCTTCTCTTTCTCCTTCATCCCCTGCAACAAGCTTCAAGTCTCAGAACTACCCATCAAAAACAAAGCATCTGTTTGTTTCTCCCACCATTCAGAACACACCACCTTGTTATGAGAATGGATGTGGTGGATATGGCCAAATGGGGAATTATTTAAATGCAACTGCCAGTGGCAGTCCCTTGTTGGAGTACTTGGAGATGCTTCCAGGATATCATTTTGAAGAACTTGTTGATTCTTCTTATGGTTTATTTAAGGTTGGCATCCCTTTTAAAGTTATTTCTTTCATTTTCTTTCAACAACAACTCAACAATATTACTAAAATCAAAAGAGATTTTTTCTAAAATATTAAGTGGTAAGAATTTTTTGAGACGGCCCAAAAAGAAAAGTGGGAAGAAATTTATGGGACGGAGGGAGTACTAATAAAAAATTTATAGACTAAAATGTGATTATAAGTTTTATAGTCATTACAGTATAAATTTGAATACAATTATAGTCGTTAAGGTTACAAGAGTCACGTTTTTAATTTGTTCACTACAATTATTTTAGTTTTTCTAAATAGGATACAAGAGTCACATTTTTGTTCACTACGATTATTTTGGTTTCTCTAAATAGGATATCTGTATTTTCATCCTAAATACAAGTAATTACTATCATTTTGAAACCGTAATGTCGTAAAATGACAATATATGATTTTAAATGATGATATTTTACTCTTAGTTAAAAATAATAAAAATATAATAGCTTTGTTTCTTGTGAATATTTGTTTACATTTTAATATTATTTTATTCTAAATTAATTCAGAAGAAACCACCAAATCAACTGGTTCAATTACCCTTTATTCTAATTATTTTAAGCTATTGTTAGTCTACTAAATACTTCCTACTTTCTTGTGGATGTACTATAATGTTGGTTGACATGAATTTATGTTTATGTATGTGCTAATTGTAGATGGGTGAAGATGATATGTTTTCTCTTTGGGACACTAATAATGAGAGCCTAGGCTCTTTATCATCAGAAAGTAGTGTCAGTAATTGGGCACCTACTACCTTCAAGAGACCAAGAATTTCTACAGATTAGTCCAAGTTCACTACCTCAAGTTAAGTGATCAAGAACTTTATGGTAGATATTAAAAGATCAACTACCAGCTCAAAAGAATAGAAACTGGTTAATTTCTCTCCTTTTTTCCACTTTAGTGTGTGTCCGGCTATGGAGGGTGTTTGGTCCAGTTCACAACTTTTCCCCCCACTTTTTTTGATATAACAAAAGTGGATGAGTCTTTTTCTTTCTTTTTTACTCATGTAAAAATATCGAGTTGTTTGCAGTATAATTAAATGGTAATTTCTTGTTATTATGTCCTCATTAAGCATCTTTATTAACTTTTTCATGCATTCAGTGGACACAATGTATTTTTACTGACTACGTATGCGCATTGGAATCTTATTCACTACGGTTGGCTATAAAGAACCCTTCACTTTATCAAATTGATCATTCAATAAGTTATTTTTCTCATAAAAGATATAGGGGGTGTTGGTTAGGAGTTTATCAGCCAATTTTTGAATGATTTGACCAATAATGACTTTTTGACCGGATCAAACAGGTAAGAAGAGTGTTTGGTTAAATGACTTATTCATTTGGTTTTTTATCCGAAAAAGTCAAAATATAAAATGTTGTTTAATACTTCCTCCGTTCTTAAATAAATGCAACGGTCAAGATTTCACACTTGTCGAGACACAACTTTGACCATTAATATAAATGATTTTGTATTAGTAAAAAAATTAAAAAATTAGATTATGAAAATTTACAATGAGACAAGTTTAACAATATTTTTTTCATAAAATAATATTATTACATTAATAAATAAAAAGTAGTCAAAGTAGAACATGTAAATAGCGTTAAAGTCAAAATGTTTCATTTATTTTAGAACATTAAGCTAGTATGGGGTTTAGGCAAGACTTTTGCTCATTTTTCCGTTACTACCCACGCGGCCTTCTCCTTACTTCCGTATTTGCCTCCTCGCACACGTCAAAGAGAAACCCACCCGCCACTTTCCATGGAAGAGAACAACAATTAATGCAAACAACCATTTAATAAATTATTCTTTACTATGAGGTGTTTGTCAATTAGCTGTTGGTTGTTGCTGATTGTTTTAGCTGATTGAAGACAGCAGATTCTGTTGGCTGTTTTGATTAGTTAATAGAATTAGTTGTTTGTAAAATAGTGTTTGGTTAAATGAGTGTTTACGATCAGCGGATAACTTGTTAAATGACTTTTAAAGACATCGATTATATATTTTCTTATTAATATAATTAGTATAACTAATTAAATCATTTTAATCCTTTCGAAAATAAAAAAATACTCTAACACAAATAGTAGTTATTTTCAACATCGTTTTTCATGAATTGATAGATTTAATTAGTGTGATGATATTTTGATTAATAAATGGAGTTATTATTAAAATCATATCAAGAAACTAATGCTATTAAGCATATGTATACATGGGTTAAGTAAAGAAATATGTATGAATGAAGCAGGATGAATTGATTCAAATGTCTGCTCGCCGTTGTATTTCATTTCATTATTTCAAAAAAATGCTTTGTATAAATTAGGAACTACTGGTAATAGAAAGAAGCACTACAAGTGGGGCACAATTTTAAATTCTACCGATTTTCTCTAACGAGTAGGAGGCTCGTACGAAAAAGAAATAGGGGTAGCGCAGGAATAATCATAACAGCCGATCCTAAACGCTAGAGTGATTGGCGTTTCATATTTTAGCTGCTGGAGATAAAAAGCCAAACGTAAAATCCATTTAACCAAACATCCTAATTAGCTGATTGATTGGTCAAAAGGCTAAATGTTGGTCAAATCAGCCAAAAAGTGGCTGATAGGCTCCTAAATTTAGCTTAAATTTAGTTTTGTGCATTTATTAAAGTATGTTATGTACTTTTTAATGACAAAATAATAATATTGTTAAAAAAATGTCAAAATAATAATAATAATAATAATAATAATAATAATATTGATAAGGGGGAAATAATTTATATATCTCAAACTTTGAATGAGTGTGATTTAAGTACCCCAAACTTGCATACCCAAAATTTTATATAAAAAATCATATTAGCACTAAAGATCGCATTTTTTTAACAAATATAATTTTTATGGTGTTAAGTAAATAATTTAAAATACAAAAAAAATTATGAGGATGCAATTAAAATTAAATTAAACCAAATGTAATATTATTATTTCACAAATGAAATTTTAGAGTGTTAATTGTATTCTAACAAATCTGATATTATTTTAAATTATATAATTATTCCAATAAATTTGTATCTATAAAAAAACATACAATCATAGTGTCAATAAACCTATTAATAATAATAATAACATAATAATAATAATCGTGATGATGATGATGATAATAATTGAAGCAGAAATTTAATTGATGTCCTTAATAGTCATTTAACAACTTATTAGCTGATTTAACCATTTTAAGAACCGCTAATACTATTAGCTAATCAAAACAGCCAACAAAATCTGCTGTTATGAATGAGCCAACATAATCAACCAACAACCCATTGTCAAACACTCGCATAGTCAATAATACATGTGTAAATTACACTCTATGATCCAAAACTTATGAAATAAAACTTATGAAATAGAATTTCAAAAATTGTCGATGTAAATGATTCTGAATTTTTTTTGTTCTCATGATAGTAGTTCAGCCAAAATGTGTGACATAATTGGTTCACACCCTCATAAGAAGATATTTGTATGGGTAAATCAATTTTCTACTCATAAGCCTCAAATTGTTCTTTCACTTCAATCTCATATGTTCTAACCGTTTCTAGGGGAGCGATTTCAGTAAGAACGGACTCCAAGAAGAGGAATGAAAATGAATCTGGACCGTTGGATTGTATTATGTGGAATTGAATTGTGTATTTGGTGAAACTGAAATGTGCATTAGATGATATTGAAATGTGCAGAATAAAAATTTAAACTCAAGTGTGCATTAGATGAAACTGAAATGTTTGGAATAAAAGGTACAAAAATAATTAACATCTCATCGTACCTTTTATTCTGCATATTTCAGTTTCATCTAGTGCACATTTCGATTTCACCTAATGCATAATTCAGCTTCACATAATGTCACTATATCATACCCTTTGTGATGTACATTTCAATTTCACATAATGCATATTACAGTTTCATCTAATGCACATTGAATTTCACCAAAGCAAATCTAACGGTCCAGATTCATTCTCATTTCTCTCCTAAGATCATGTTCTTATTTGAACTAAAACCATGTTTCTCATATATTAAATGTAACACCGTCTCCCAAGTGTATTACTTAGTGTATATGAAATGGTTAATGAATTTATGAGGTTGTAAATTTTTGTTATTACTTTTGCGTATATAGTAAATTGCACGTGGGACCCACACCGGGAACAGGAACCACCTGATATTTTCGAGACCACATATTATTTTCATCTTGGTCTAGATAATATGTATATGGTGGTGGATATTCTAGTTGGGACATAGAAAAAGCATTGGGTTGATCGGTTGGTCAAACGAGGCCCAAATTACCGGTATCGGTAATTTATCAGATAACAGTCCGAAATGAATTTCGAAGACTTCTAAATTAAAGTTGGGGAATGAATATTCATTCTAAAGGTCCATAATGATTGGGAACATGTGATATATTTTATTTGACCCGACAAAATAAAATATAGTTAAAACTGTCCGAGAAATACAACTTTTAGGGTCGAATGTACATATCAGGACTTGTTGGGATGATCTCTCACATGAGTTGGGGCCACCCCACGAAATTGTCAACCAATAGAGGTTGATTGAGTGCAAAGAGGACTGAAAACACTTGAAGGGATGAGGGAGACCATCTTTGACACCTAAGGGGCCCCTCTCACACTCATTTGACTAATATGACAAAAGGAAAACCCATTCCCCTTTCCCTCATCATTGCACATCGCCCAAACTACCAAAAGTGAGAGAAGAATCTCTTCAAACTCTATCTCCATTGCTACATTTCGATCTCAAGCAAAGGTGGTTGAAAGAGGATGATTAAAGAAGGAAAAAGTCAAGAAAAGTGTGAAGGATTAAGGTAATGACATTATAATAACTTTTCCTCTACTTTTTATCTATCATGTGACTTATATATCATATGAAGTACCCCTAGGATTGTTCTAAATGTTTAGAAGTGTATAATGAGAGGTTGGAAGGTAGTTCTAAGTCCAAGAACGGACTTAGAAGCCAAAGTGACCGGTTCGCCAGAAAATAACCTTTTAGAAATTATTTGTATTGATATGGGTTTTGTGATGATAAAACCTTGTTAGGAACTTGTCTAAGATGTTCCTAGTACTTTCACGAAGTTGAAAGAGTCTCCGGATTTTAACAAAGTTCGCCGGAGTTTCGTTTGAGTTCAACCGAGAAGGGTAGAACTTCATAAAACTCATTCGAGGTGAGTGGACAGCTTAATGTCTTGTAATTCTTGGTTTAAACATGAGATTACCTAAGTAAATGTTATATGTATTCATAATGATGTTTAAAAGAGTTTAAACATGTGATTAGCCAAAGTGATTAGGCTTATATGAAATGAACTGTTAAGATATGCATGAAATATGATATGAAAATGATTATAAAAACATATGTGATGTTTTGAAGGATAAAAAGGGCATAAAATGGTTGTTTATAACCTAATACACGTTGTGATTAAGTTTGACACAAATTGGACTTGAAATGGTGGGTCAATGAAATGTTGACCGGTTGCCCAGGGGGCAACTGGCACCGGTTATGTGTAGAACCGACCTCGGTTTGGGTATGGGGTGCTCGGTTCATATAATTTAATCATGAATCGGCGCAGATCAGGTCTGAACCGGTGCCGGTTTGGTGTTTTTTTCCCCATATGTTGATTTTTAATGCATGAATTGCATTGAATGTTATGCTTAATGTCACGCCCCGGACCTAGCCGGACACGTCAACAACCCGCCGTACAGTACGAATAGTCAACCGCAGTCCGACTCATCCATACTATACAAGGCGTCATGAATATCATTCACACATAGTACATCCATAAACAAACATAAAGTAAATCATTTATTCAAAACAGCGGAAGCATAAATACAATTGTTCAAGCCACACTTGGCATAACTCGGCATACAAGCCCCCAAAGTAATTATTCAAAAGTAATATTCATGAGCATTAACGTAATTGTTTTTAAAACAGACGGAAGAAGCACGAACCACGTCTTCTCCCCCTTGATCTTCCCGGAGCCACGGGCGATGGTAGCAACCTTCAAGTTCTACCTGAAACTGTGAGGTGGCCTCCCCCGTGAAGGGGAGGTCAGTACTTGGAAATATTTGACAAGTACAATAGCAACTATACTAAGTATAATCAACATTTTAATTTCCCCGACCCTCAACTT